TGTAGCCATGGGACGACGCCATTACGGAGCTTCGGAGTGGCCAGAGCCTCGGTCGGTCTGGCCCTTGTGAAGCGTCTTACCTCGCCAGCGGAATGATAGCCCCGCGGCATATAATGCCTCATATGGTGGGTGTAACAGAGAGAGTCACACGAAAGGGATGATAAAGATGGACGTAGGGTTACAATACATCGGGCATACGGACCAGGCCGTCCCAAATCCAAGACTCAGACCGAACAGCGAGCAGGTCGGGCCTCAGATATCTCACCCAAATTTCGAAAGCTAGCCCACAGTAGCCGGGGCTTCAGACTTACCGTTTCACTATCGACGACTCCTACGTTGACCCTAACTTTGTCATGTCTTCTCTGGCAAATATTCACACGCCCATAAAATGTTGGTTAATCTTCGTGAATGAAAGCCCTTGGTGAGTGGTAAGGGTAGGAAGATGGCGTTATGATGTCTAAAGGCGACGGCAACGTTTGCCGTACCAGTGTAGTCATTTTCGAAATGAACAAAAATATAAATATTTAGTAATATACATTACGAACTGACGTTTAAACGCTGCAGTATTGTAGATCTAGACGCCAAGTTCAGCTGTTCCGGCCCATTCATTGTTGGGTCCCTTGAAATCTGGCTAAGTCAACGCGGCAACGTAACCCACACTCTTGCCCCAGAGATCTACAACACCTTAAATCCATCGATTGATGTTAGCTCTTCCCATGGGCCATCTGAATATCTCTGAGGTGAGTGCTACCTCATTAAAAAAATTATATATTGTTCTTTTCTTTTGTGGCTGTAGCCGCAGGAGGCAGAAGTGAGGCGTACGTTCCAAGAGGCCATTGCTAAAAACTCTTTTGTGTACGTCTCCCTTATTTCTCATATGGTAGTTTGGTAATTTCGTGGTTGTAAAAATCCGACCTTTCCCAAATCGAATTAATTGAATTTTTTTCTCCGTTGTCCGCTCTCCTCCACCGCGGCAGGCGTCCCTCGGAGGTAGGTCACGGCTGTGGCCACCTCACCTCGCCCTTCTCTCTCTCTCGTCTCGTTTGCCCTCCACCTAGCGGGGGGGGCCTCGCCTCGTCGCACTCCAACTATTGGGAGCGTTGTCTCGTCAGCGTATTCTGCGACCTCTTCTCCTCCGGCCGCTGGAACGCTCCATTGGCTGTACCTGACTGCGAACAGACCCTGGAAGCTCGTCCCTCGTGACCACACTCGTCAACACGCTTCCACTCCCTCTAGTCGACCAAGTCACGGCTCTGTTTTCTTCACTCTCCCCATGGATGATCTCCCGGTACATGAAGCCGACGGCGAAACCAACCTTCATTTTTTTCTACAAATCTAAACTTCCGTCCAGAAAACTGAGGAACGAGATTAGGATGATATGAGTCGTGCCGTATTCTGGGAGATAACTTGATGTTTACTGAGTTGAACGTTGGCGATCTTCCCTGTCTGCCATTGACAAATAGAGACGGTGGAGAAGATAGCACCCCTTCGCCCTTGTCTCTGCATGTAGAGCCCGTCAAGTTTCACTGTCGTAGGAGATGGAAGGGAGAATAAGCTTCCCTTGTTAGAGGTAAGCGGAGAATGTTCTGGTCAGGTATTTGAGGAGTACGTGGATCCATAGATATCATCTGTCACGGTTTCCTTTTCCACGTGATATAGGAGGGGGGATGACCTGGGTGGAAGGGTAAGCCGAGGGGGTACAGGTATCATGATAGGAGGGAGAGAATGGATCGATACCCCTTCTCGGACGATAGTCTGCAGCGGAAGATAGAGAGAAAGAGAGGCTGTGACACGGGAATATGGTGAGCGGAACAGCAACTGAAGACGCACACTAGAGGGCAAAAGGAGATTACAGGGAAGGATAGAGACGATGTGAGGGAGAGGGATGGAAGAGGATAATGACCCTTAGAGCGGATCAGACTCTCAAGCACCCTTAGAGCGGGTGAAACTCACTACTTTCTTCTTCTGATTCCTCCTCCTTCTCGTCTTATATATGTGATAGTAGAAGACGGTTACTCACATCTTGTGTAACGTGGCCCACGTTTTCCGGAGAAGACGCCTGAGTTATAGAAGGTGGGATGAGCCGACCCTTACGTGGAGTTCACCGTTTCGTGGAGAACATCCAAGGGTCTATCAGGGGACCGCCGCCTCGTGTAATTTGAGAGTGTATGTGAGACTGTTCTCCTTTTATAAGGAAGATCAGGCTTTCGCGACCGTGGATGTAGGAGAATTCTTCGAACCAAGTAAAAATCTAGTGTCTTCTCCCTCTCTCCATTCTCTCTCATGTTTGAATTAGTTTTCGCTGTGAAATGAGGGGACGCTCGCCCCCTTTCAAGTGCGGGAAGGGTTGCCCACAGCCTTATTGCCCACCTTTCTTCTTTCTCTTCTTCTACATCTTCTCGTCATTTGCAGGCCGGGGTGGTTCAACCGTAGACTCAGGAAAGTCACATAGCTCCCCACTATTCTGCTCCCTCCTCCCCTCCTTTCATTGTGGTTCCATACGACGAAAGGTAGATCCTGAGTTTGGTGAAACGAGAGCACTCTCGAGAGTTGATATCTGGAATGTATTGCAGGCTTCATTTCGATTGAGGCTTTGCGGGTGGCTCGAGCTACTGAGATAACGACATATGGATCTGAGAACCAATTTTCTCAGAAACATGACGTAATTTTCAGGAGAATTCAGGAAAATATTGAACGATATCTATTTCTTCCCATGACAGAATAAAATCAAAATTCACTCCATAGAATCACCAAAAGACCATTAGAGCAGCTTCTCACTAAGAACGCAAGATATCAATAAACCAGAATAACTATATTTAATCTAAAATAACACCTAAAAAATCTAGAACAATATTCCATGTCACATATCCCGTTCTCTTTTCAAAAATCGCCCATGATTCAATATAACAATCTGTTCATGAAAACGTTGTTTTTGCTAAAGGAGACACCAAGTGTTGAACTTGATCTACTAGTTCCCATGACACATAAATCAATAGAAATTTACACAACGTTGTTGACCCACAGTTTAGTGAAAAGTTTAGTCAAGCGTTTGCACATTTTGCTAAGCCACGATTAATGCTTATATGCACGTTAGATGCATAGGTCCATTTGTCTTATTTGGAAAGCAGTTGGTAAAGAAAAAAAGTAGCCTCGGAAGGCATAACCGTCATTATTGATACATTTTAATTTTCGAGTTGGTTTGTAAGTATTAAAGCTAGATGCCTTTCCTATTATATAATATGAATATACACATGTACGAGTACATATTCCACTAAACTACTGCTTATAGTTCCCCTTCATGGGACAATGGTTTTTTACATTACTTAATTTGCCATGTGGAGCGAAAAACTTGAAAAGTAGGTAATATTTTGATGTCACTTAGATTCGATCTGGTTTTTGTTTTCTTTCTTCCGAACTCACATGGGCCTTTTCAATGTTTTTGAGATCAGCAAGATATTTGAAGCCTGGAAAACCAGGAAACAGCAGCGTAGCCGAATTTGCATCAGTGATGCACCCGAAAGACCTAGTTAGGGATCAGGCCATGAGCAGCTGAGTTGGGCGAATGATGGATATTTTTACAATAAATTGTAACCATGAAAATAGTTCCAGCGTTGTTTTGAAGCCCAAGGAAAAAAATGACTTTTTCTATGAAGTATTAGTCTCTGAGAAGGGAATCCAAAGACTGGCGGGTGAAATTTTCACGCCCAGGGAAAAAATATTCAACCATACGGTACAAAAATGGTGTCAGGTTACCCTCGATACGGACGATTGTTGCTCCAATCGGAAGTCATTAGAAAATTTAAATGGTGCTAAAATAAATGATATATTTGTGGCGTGGATAAACGATTGTGTTCCCGATAGAACCAAGGAAATGTCAACTTGGGTCGGCCACATGGGGAATCTTTCATTGCTGGCCGTCAACGCTGTGTATGTCACTGCGCATCGATATCGTGGGCTCGACGGCACCTTCGTCAACGGAGAATGGAGAACAGTTTATGAGGCTGAGAGAGGAACAATGTAAAAACCTGACATAGTTAGTATTTGTCAATGAGTCAGTGGAAGTATTAGTCTCTGAGAAGGGTATCCAAAGACTGGCGGGTGAAATTTTCATGCCCAGGGAAAAAATAGCCAACCAAAAGGTACAAAAATGGTGTCAAGTTACCCTCGATACGGACGACTGTTGCTCCAATTGGAAGTCACTAGAAAATTTAAATGATGTTAAAATAAATGATATATTTGTGGCGTGGATAAACGATTGTGTTCCCGATAGAACCCCAGAAATGTCAACATTGGTTGCCAAATAGGGAATCTTTCATTGCTGGCCGTCAACGATTTGTATGTCACAACGCATCAATATCGTGGGCTAGACGGCACATTCGTCAACGGAGAATGGACAACAATTTATGGGGCTGAGAGAGGAACAATGTAAAAACCTGGCATAGTTAGTATTTGTCAATGAGTCATTGGAAGTCTTGAAGTTTTGCACTGTTGTTTTCACGAGCGGACCATTTCTTTTTTGTGGTAAGTCGGACATTTTCTGAGACATGGGCCCGCCAGACCATGGGCTAGGATAATTGCTGGCGTAGGCAGTGTCTGGCTCATGGGCCCCACCTACCTAACCCTGTTCTCAATGCTTTATTCCGTCCCGCCACCTCTTCTCTCCAGTTCCCTTTCTGTGGGCTAAATTGGTCAATGAAATATCATCTTTGTTTGATTAAAATTATGTCCCTTCGTGGCGTGGACGAGGCGAGGGTCTACTTTAGTATAACTCTCCCAGCGCTATCCGAAATGTAATACAACGTTACCCTTAATGCAGACGATGACTTTGCTTGATTTAATGGAAGTAGAGCGAGAAGACTCTCTGTCACAGTCGCCATGATCCTAGCCGTGAAGGGGACGTCTAGGTACCTGGTATCAATAAATGGTGACGATGAGAACGGAGCCACTCTCCTGTCTTCCACGCGCTGTCGACCCTCAATTGTGTTTCATCTTCGTGAGGGATGGAAGGAAGACTGAACCATACTCCTTTCACAGCCACGATCGGTTGGCCGCAGCCTCCGCACCTTTTCTTCTTTTTCGTCGTGCTCTTTTTCTGCAAGGTCCAACCGTTCGGAACCCTGTTTGTTCAAGCTCAGTCCCAGGAAGGTAAGCTAAAAGAGCGGTTGTAAAGCTCGATTGCCTACTTCGCAGACCAATCAGATTTGGAACGTATAGCCCTCTGATCCCCTTGATTAGATTTTTCCCTCCGGCAGTCAGGCTCGGATATCCCGAGTGGTCTGATTGGTCAACGCTTCCCCTATTCCACAGTTAATAGGTCCCGAAAAAAGTTTGCATCATGAATTCATCATACTCCAATGCAGGTTTCATAAGCGTCGACTGCGGCTTCGAGGGTGGCTCGAGATATCAAGACAACTCCACCGGACTGGAATACTCCCCTGACTCGCAATTCATCAACACGGGAGAGAACAGGAACGTCTCTGAGAACCGATTTTCTAAGCGATACGGAACTCTCCGTAGCTTCCCAAACGGGACGCGGAACTGTTATAGGCTGTCGCCGGTACAATCCGGCAACAAGTACCTGATTCGAGCGGGATTCCTCTACGGCAACTACGACGGCCAAGGTTCCTCACCCATCTTCGATCTCCATATCGGGGTCAATTTCTGGACTACAGTCAAAATGGGATCCGCGGGTCGTTTCGTCTCCGATATCATCACGGTGTCGCAGGGGGACCTCATACAGGTGTGCCTAGTCAACACGGGAACTGGGACGCCCTTCATATCGGTGCTTGAGCTGAGGCCTCTCCTCAATTTCATGTATCCTTTCGCAAACGCGTCCCAATCCTTGGTCAATCAGGAGCGCTGGAATTACGGAACCGGAAATCAAGTAAGGTATTGTTAAGATGAGTTATCTGCTTTCGATTCATTAAACTCAGTACTAGCGTCTATTAAGTTTCTTCGACCGGCCTTCATTTACCTCTCTGATTAGAGAGAACGAAGACGCATACAATCAAGCAGTGGCCTCCTGCGGGTACCCTCACAAAAACGATAATCAATTTGAGTAACGGAGTAGCTTTCACCTCACAGGTATCCGGATGACCCTTATGACCGCATCTGGGACGCTGTCACCAACGATTTTCTCGTACTCAACACCACAAACGAAGTGGAGGTGAAAGCAGGAGACGTTTTTCTAGTGCCCTCGAAGGTTCTCAGAACGGCCGTGTCTGACACAAGACCGAACTTGGATATGACCATCCGGGCGGTCAGTCAGAGTCCCGGTGCGCGGATATACATTGTGATGCACTTTGCGGAGCTTGTGAAGCTAAATTCTGCCAACGAATCCAGGCAATTGAATATCTTCGGATTGAACGGTCAGGTGTTGTTGTTTCCGAACTACATCGCTCCTTATTTGACAGCAGACCACAAAGAGATTATGAATGTTGCTCTTGGAGGATCAGGATCATACAACATTTCCATCAACGTCTCTAGCTCGTCCACACACTCGTACATGATCAACGCCCTAGAGAGTTTTATTGTGAGGCAAATGAATGAGTCGCAAACTGATGATCGTGATGGTGAGACCTCCGTAAAAGTTTCCCTATTCACTTTCTTTTATTTCACTTTTACTTTATCCCTTTGCTTATCGTTCGGACACAATTTTCACACAATCAAGTCAAACATCGTCATCATATGAGTGCACCATCTCTTGAGCGTGCTGAAGCCTTCTCCGCCCAAGTGGCGAGGTGGCTTTCCTTGTGTTCCTGATGTCCTAGTCTTCAGTCTGTGATCTTCTAAGATGGTAAGTTCGCTTTGTGCACCAGTTTCTGCCATTGAAGACATCAAAAGAGTGTTCAGACTTACGGGAAACTGGGAGGCGGATCCTTGTTCTCCGAAAGAATATACTTGGAAGGGAGTGAGCTGCAGCGGCTATGGAGACTCTAGACCTGCGAGGATCATATCTCTGTGAGTAGAGATTATACGTCTATGTATCTCTAAATATGTTCGCGGCAGACTGATAGGAGAGATGCTAAAAATTTTATTGTCATGAAACCTCTTGAAATTTAAGGTTTTAGCATAGACGACCTGCAACACTAGATTTCCTGCGTGACAGGGATCATTCATCCCAGTTTAAATGACGTTTCGACTAAACTATACTAAACGTTTTTGTCTCTTTTGACTCTCAAACTGCATGACCGATGAGATGGATCATAATTCTAATCATGCAGGAACTTATCATCAACTGGTTTGGATGGAAAAATTCCTACTTCGATTGGTAACCTGACAGCTCTTGCATCTCTGTAAGCATTGGTTTCCATCAATATTACAGTTCAAAACCAATAATGAAATCCTTCATATTTATACAGTATATTTGACATGTGAATCATACTAAAGAAGCTATAAACATTTCATAGATTTTTCTTTATTCTCTCCTTAGTCATGTGAGGTAAATAGTAACAATTATTGGAACCTACCCATTTTCAGAGATTTGTCCAATAACTATTTGATTGGGCCAATACCGGATATTTTGGGAGAGTTACCATATCTTCAATTCATGTAAGTTTCCTTTTCAACCTTATCCAATAATGGATATTGGTGGGGAGGGGGGGCTATCTCTTAAATTGATGCAAGTTCCCTCGTCAACCTGATACAATGATAAACTATTTGATGTTTGAGACTCTTATGGAAAATATTTTTTATACTCTTCTAGAAACTTGTCGGGAAATGAAGACATTGGGGTTGTTCCTGAAAATATTTGTCAGAAAATGTTGGAAGGTATTCTTTCCTTAAGGTTAGTAAAGTCACATACCAGTATTACGATTGTGATTAAACTTCTAAACCTTAATGCATAAAACTACTCAATAATGAAGTATAATTACAATGTATCGATTTATTTTTGCAAGCATTATTTATGATACAAAGATCAAATAACCATTGATGAAGGAGCATGATTATTTTAGCTTCTGATTACTTCAAATTGGAAATATTATTAGATATAATAGCCAATGCTTGTTTAATGTTTTATGCAATTAAACCTAGCGATTAAAACCATTACCAGAATATTATTGTATAGATTTTTAATTTAGTTGAGACTTTCTTTCACTAACTATCTTCTCCAATGATAGTATCAATGGTGAGCCAAAGCAATGCAAGAGTGGCCACAACAACAACAACAAGCAGAAGATTATTATTCCTATAATAATAGTGGTAATAATACTTCTAATGATGTTGCTTGTTGTATTCGTTTGGTTAATCAAGAGGAAGAGAAAAAAATACTCTTCTCAAGGTATGCTAAATTATACATCTTTTCCTAAGTTTAAATATTTTAAATCCAAAAAATATTTAATAATTAATATTTTTCATTTTTTCTAAATTTTTAAATTTTTTAGGTTTCTCAAATGAACAATGCATTACTAGAAGTAGAACTACTGAGGAAAATAGTTGGAAAAGAAAAAGTGTGCAATTTACATATGCAGAAATTCTACAGATTACACAAAAGTTCAACCATGAGATTGGTAAGGGGGGATTCGGAATTGTTTATCTCGGTAATTTGACAGATGGGACTAAGGTCGCAGTAAAGGTTCTTTCCTCTTCATCATCACAAGGATCCAAGGAATTTCAATCAGAGGTAACTAAACACAATCAACAATCTAGAATATTTACATGATATATTGTTCTCTACCTACATCAGTGGATATCCATAAATGTTGAATTCATTACTCATATAATGAATTTATGACATTTCAGGTTTTATTGTTGTCAAGAGTGCACCACAAAAACCTGGTGTGCTTATTGGGGTATTGTGAAGACATACAACATTTATCACTTGTTTATGAGTATATGGACAATGGAACCCTCAGAGATCATCTTTCAGGTCTTTCCATTTGAAATCACCAAATTCTTAATTTATTGAAATAGATAGACAACCATTTGTAGGATGAATATTCTATCATCTAAATCTTTGATGCATGGTCGAGATAAGATACCACTACAATCATTGTTATTCTTCTTTTAGGTGATATTCACAATTCAAAGCTTTTAAGCTGGAGCAAAAGAGTGAATATTGCTCTTCAAGCTGCACAAGGTACTTTCATCCTACATACTTGACTCAACTTTTTACTTATGAATTTTTACTTCTTTATAGTTGAAAACAATTGCAGGATTGGATTATTTACATAACGGATGCAGGCCACCTATTATTCATAGAGATATAAAGAGCAATAATATTCTTTTGAATTGTGAGCTTGTTGCAAAGATAGCTGACTTTGGATTATCAAGAGCATTTAGTAATGATTATGCTACACACATAACGACTGGTTTAGCTGGTACTCTAGGATATCTTGATCCTGAGTAAGTATTCTTTCTTATTTTTGTTTTTGTAATTTTTCACATTTTAATACCTATTTTTGTAGAATACTATGTATTATGAAAAAAAAATACTTGTGCAAAAAATATTTAACAAAATGAACTTTTTTTCTTTGTGCAGGTGCCTAAATTCTAAACTAAGTCAAAAAAGTGATGTATATAGTTTTGGAATCGTTCTTTTAGAGATTATAACTGGTCAACCACCACATTCAAACTCCACAAAGAGGACACATATTGTTGAATGGGTTCATTCAAAGTTCCAGAGTGGGGACATTAAGAATATTATTGACCCTATGTTGAAAGAAGATATTGATATCAACATTGCAAGGAAAATAATAGAAGTAGCAATATCATGTACATCAAAAACTTCAGAAGAAAGGATGACAATGAGCAATACGGTAATACATTTGAAGCAATGTTTGGAAGTGATAGAATCACACAAGTCCTCAATGCAAAAATCAAATGGCACATTAGATTTTGAATCAAGTGCTCCTACAGCTCCATCAGATAGGTAGCTCCTTAAAGTTCATGAGTGAGTATTGTTCTTGATTTTTGAGATTACAAAAAGGATTGGATCTAAACCAACAGTTTAAATATTGTATCAGACTCGAATTTCAATTTCAAGTATAGTATGATGATCTAGAGAAATGTGTTGTTTCTGAACCTATAGAGATGATCCAAGAATTTCACCTGATTTGGCAGGAAAATCTTTCGAAAATATGTGTTTGTATACCCTAATGAATTGTGAGTACTTGAAAAAATGAGTGTTTAAGTTGCAGATTAATGTACTTCTGATTACCGTTGCTGCTCTTGAAATCTGAAAGATCTATTGGAGATGTTCTGTATTTACGTTCTCTCGTTGTCTTTTGGAGAATTTTTAAGAACTGTATGAAACCTATCTTATTTTGGTATCAGCGTGCATTGCAAACCATTTGTATTGATTGTCATACAAGTCACGTGGAAAACTATATGCATTTTCGTCCTAGGCTCAAATCAGGTTTCACCCCCGAAGCTAGATAAATTTCTCAAGGAACTCGCTGGATGGGAAACGGACTCTAGAAAGGTCACTCACTCTTGCTATGTTCTTGTTTTGTGGCAGGAATGTGCATACGAGATCGGAGTCCATTAGGCAAGAAGAATTTACAAGGCGATCAGTTGTCTTTGGTAATGAAGAACAGCGGGCGTAACAGAGGAGTGGCTCGTGGCTGCCACAATACCCCTGTCATACATTCAATATGTGCTATTTCCATGTGAAGACATTCTTCTGATATACTTCAATTTTAGATCGTCATTTCTGTTCTTGATGGTTCCCTTCATTGATATCAAACCCCTTACAAGTGAGCGAGCGAGGGAGAAAAGAGAGAGAGAGAGAGAGATACACACACACACACACACACACACACAGATAGAGAATATGTACAGTTGTGAAGGACGTGAAACCTGTTCTAAATCCAAGAGAAATCAGACAAAATTTGATGCTTAACATTCATCCAGCTCGAAGTATAGATTTTGTATCACCCGTTACATCTGTCCAAACAACTATGATTGCGATGGTAAAGTTCCAAGATGGCCTCATAATAGTATAACTCAATATAAATATATATAGGTCACTTCAGACAGGGAGGGCTCAGTTCCCATTTTCAAGTGTATCCTCCTCTCCCTACAATGCTGCCTCCACGATGAACCTGGTTGCCGTCTCAAATGTCATCTGGCTGAAATGCCAAAGTAAGCAGTCCTCGTTCATCGGCCAATAGCCGTCGTTCACTGTCATGGACGGCAGTTAGGGAGAGCTCTTGTAGCAGTCGAACATGTTTTTGACTTGGTTGATGATGGCTGCCGTCGCAGCGTCGACACCATAGGTGGAAAGGAGGGCATGAATGCCATTGGATCACCTTGTCCTCGATGTTCCCAGACTCCTTCACGTTAACAAAAACAAAAATAAAGCAAAGCACCATTGCGGGGTATATAGGAATTAGGGATTCAGGGCAGAGAAAAAGTTACCTCTACAGCAGAATATGAGGCTCCTTTCAGAACAGAACAAGAATCTATGGTTAGACCATTCAATTCGACAAAAAATTCTTTATCTTTCGGCCTCTTGCCTCTCCTCGCCTTATTCTTATTTTTCTTAGCCAGGAATTGTTTTCGCCCTTGGGCAGTCTCCTTGCGATTTATTGGTGTTGGATTTAAGACTGCGGAATCAGCCTTTAAATGGAGTGTTTGTTGAAATGTCACAAATAACTGAACTGCGGTTGTTTCTTATCTATTGTTTTTGTTTCTCCACCCATCCTTTAATAACGGCCGTCTATGTGCGATTATAACGGTCGAGATGCTGTCACGGAGGCAGTTGTCAAGTGAACCGTCACGGTGGCAGTTGTCAAGTGAGTAACTGCCTAAACGGCATCTCTCGTATAGTGTTTCGATCTGGTCCTTTAGAAGGACCTGCGGAGAACACAATCGTTCAGAGTTTTTTTCCTTGAATCAAATTCTGTGCAATTTTTCTACACTCTTCTTGAGGGTTTCTTGAGTGTTTCTGGAAGAATTGTAATGCAGATTCTTCAGTTGGTATCAGAGCGATTGCGATCCAACACACTTTGACAACGATGGCACCGCGGAAGGGAGAGAGTTCGTCTCAAGATTTTGTGATGTCTGGAGGATTGAAAGGAACAGAGCAACCTATGCAGATAGGTACCTTTCCGATCCTCACCAAGCTCAACTACTAGGTTTGGGCATCTCGGATGCGGCTTCATCTTGAAGGCCTTGAGCTATGAGATGTCATCAAAACGAAGAACCCTGTCAAGAAGAAAGATTGATATGTTTTGTCCATCTTATTCAGCACCATCTCTGATGAGGTTTCATGCGAGTTATAGATGTAGAGAAAACGGCGTAGTAGACGTAGAATTTCCTGAAGGCTAAAAATGGTGGAATTCCACACTTGCAGAAGGCATGGATTCAATCTCTCCATGGATGAAGAGGAGTTGATTCTTAATTACTTCGGAAAAATTATCTCGTGCGGTGATTGAACTAAGAAGTCTCGAAGAGAAGATCACTGATGCAGATCTCTCCGCCAAACTACTGAGATCTGCCTCAGGTAGGTTTGACTCCATCATAACTTCTATTGAATAATTTTAGGCTCTTGATATGGTCTCGGTGGATGAGATTCTTGGACACTCAAGATTCACGAGGATAAGCTTCGTGATCGTTCGGTCAAAAGGGACGAGAAAACTCTTCTTGCACGAGCCATGAGGAAGGCTGAAAAAAACCACACTAAAGAGCAAATCAGGCCTCGTATGAATTAAATATCTCAATGAACCCATTAATCTCCTGTATAGTGTTGTATCTAAATCAGTGCCTTCCTTCTGATTAAATCTCGGTCTTACTTCAAGGGGGGTGGGAGATTAATTGCAATTCAGCATTTCAAATGTCGTCAGTATCTTCAATACAAAGGACTTTTGAGATAAAATGATCTCACCTTCAAGCTAAACAACTTGAATTTTTAAATATGAAGAAAGAAGCCCCAAATCTGTCATCTCGAACACTATTGACATTCTTCTTTCGAAATTCATGACTCCATCTTCAGGAGTATCTATGATAAACGAGTCATCAACATAAATTCCCACACATAGGTAAGAATTTGGCAAAATTTTGAAGAAGACCAGGGGTTCATAGCTGCTTCTAGTCAGACCCAATAATTGAAGACTTTTATCAAGCTTCAAAAACCAAGCTCTAGGAGCTTGATTCAAGCCATAAAGAGCCTTCTTCAGCTTACAAATCAGATGTTCATTGCCTTCAATCTCAAAACCCTTAGGTTGTCTGACGTAGATATCTTCATCAATATTCTCATTTAAAAATATAGATTTCACATCCACATGACGGACCTTCCAGTGAAATTGAGCTGCAATGACTAGAAGGACACGAATTGTCTCTAATCTAGCTACTAGAGGAAAAACCTCGGTGTAATCAACATCATACCTCTGAACATACCTTTTCACCACAAGTCGGTCCTTGTGTTTGAGTATTTCACCTAATGGGTCCCTTTTGATCTTAAAGATCCATTTCAAACCAATTAACTTGCACCCACAATAAGGAACAATTGGACTCCAAATCTGGTTCTTCTCAATTTGACTTAACTCCTCAGCCATAGCTTTTCTTCAGACTTCACATTTTAGAGCTTGTCTGATGCTTTCAAGTTCATCATTTGCAGTAAAATAGCAGCTTTCATCATCATTTGCTAATTCCCGAGTTTCAGCATAGAGTTGAGTGAGATCTTTGAATCTTTGAGGTTGAGTGTGATCAGGTGAGCTAGAAACATTAGTGGACACATCTTCTCTTTCATTATCAGCCGCATCAGAGGTAATCTCTTCTAGTTCAATACTAACGCAGGCCTCGTCAACATCTAGATTAAAAACCAAGTGAGATTCAAACCTGACTTTGTCTTCAAATTGAAATTGTCTCAGTTCCAACACTTCTCCTCCTTAGCTGGAAAACCTTTAATTCCCTTTTCATAGCTGAGAAAAATCATAGGAAGACTTCTGTCGTTCAATTTTTTCAGACTTTCACTTGACATTTTAACGTGCTTAAGAGACCCAAAGGTGCGAAGATGGGCAATATTAGGCTTTCTCCTAGTCCAAGCTTCATATGGAGTCAAATTCTCAAGATTTCTAATCGGCGCTCGATTCAACTGGTAGACTGCAGTGCTAGCAACTTCTCCCCATAATTCTTGAGATAGATTCTTTGACTTGAGCATAAATATTATCATGTTCATAACAATACGATTGCGTTTCTCCACCACTCCATTCTACTGTGGAGAATAAGGTATTGTGAGCTGCCTCTCGATGCTATGTTCTTCACAAAAACCACAGAATTCCTTCGAATTGAACTCTCTACCTTAGTTTGTTCTCAGATAACTGATTTTCATAGACTTTTCAGCCTCGACCAGTGATTTGAAACTCTTAAAAGCATTACAAGCCTCTGACTTCTTCTTAAGTAGAGAGATTCACATCGGTCTTGTGTGATAATCCATTAAAAACAAGAAGTACTTACTTCCTCCTAGAGTTTTAAGATCAATAGGACCACATAAATTGCCGTGAATTAATTCTAGTGGTCATGAAGCTCTGAGGAGGCTGATGAAGAGTCTGATGAGAACGATGTTCTGCTTTGCTTTGACTTCACATAGTCAACACAAAGATCCTCCTCCTTTTGAATTTTCAGGAGTCCTATCACCATATTATGTGTAGAAAGAAGCTTTTGTGCCACAACCACGAGCTTCATACCTTTTGTGCCACAACCACGAGGCGCCATCTCTAATGTGAAGGCAGTTCTCCACAATATCAAGCTTTACCAAGTATAGTCTTTCCGAATTTCTTCTAACTTTAGTCAACAATCTCCCTCTTGAATCGTGAATGGTCAGAATTCTACTATGTAGGTGAATATCACAACCTTATTCATCCAATCTTCAGTGACTTAAGATATTGGCACTTAAGCTTGGTGTGTATAGGACATTAGATAGAGTAATCAGATTTCCACTTCTTGTATTCAAAAAAATATCACCTCTGCCTTCGATGTTGATTTGAGATTCATCACCAAATCTCACTCTCCCCTTATGTGACTCATCCAAGTCATGGAAGAGTGATCTCTCCCCCGTCATATGTGAGGTGGCCCCTGTGATACAAGAGCCCTTGACCCAAGTCAGAGTGTGTAATTCCTTGGAGAAGTACCTCATTTTCCTCAAATGCCATGAGGAGAGATGACTCTTGAATCTGCTCTTTCGCAACATTAGCCTTTTCTTCATCATTCTTCAGTCTCTCCTTCTTCAAAAGCTGACATTCATTTGAGTGATTCATCATTACTATCTTTGATTTTGGAGAAACCTCTTCCTCTTCCTCTGCCACGGCCTCTTCCTCTGCCTCTACCGTGATTTCATTTGTGGTGGCTTTCTACTTGTGGTACATAGAGAATCTCACATCTGAGCATTTTAAATGTGCAAAAATACTGATCAGATATATCAAGGGGACACTTATTTTTGGTTTGAGATATAAAGAGGGGAAGAGTTTTGATGTAAAAGGTTACTGTGATAGTGACTACGGTGGAGATTCTGAGGAACAGAAGAGCACCTCTGGATTTATATTCTTTCTTAGTGGAAATGCTGTGACGTGGGTGTCCTAGAAACAAAGGATAGTGGCTCTATCCTCGTGTGAGGATGAATATGTTTCTCTCACACTTGCAACTAGCCAAGGTGTCTGGTTGGCTGACTTTCTCGGTGAATTGACTGGAAGAAGTCTCAAGCCAGTCAAAATATTTGTGGACAATCAATCTACAATCGAGTTGGCCAAGAATTACATTTTTCACAGTCATTCGAAGCATATCAAAATTAGGTACAATTATGTCAGGAAATGCGATGAAGACAAGGAGTTTGCTGATTTCTGCACACTGATTGGAGTTTAAGCTGAAGCTGATCAGACTGAGCTTAAGGAGTTTGTTGGATTTAAGCACGCAGAATTAGCCTTTGAATGGAGTGTTTGTTGAAACATTGCAAATAACTGAACTGCGGTTATTTCTTATCTGTTGTTTTTCTTTCTCCTCTTTCCGTCTTTTAATCACGACTGTCTATGTGTGATTATAACGGTCGAGATGCCGTCACGGAGGCAGTTGTGAAGCAAACCGTCATGGTGGCAGTTGTCAAGCGTGTAACTGCCTAAACGGCATCTCTCGTATGGTGTTTCGATCTGGTCCTTTATAAGGACCTGCAGAGAACACAATCGTTTAGAGTTTTTTTTCCTTGAATCAAATTCTGTGTATTTTTTTCTACACTCTTCTTGAGGGTTTCTTGAGTGTTTCTGGAAAAATCGTAACGCAGATTCTTCACTTGGTTTCTTCCTCTTCCGGCGCCACTCCCCCTGCACCCTCTTCCTCGTTGGTCTTTGGGGCTTCAACTTCTCCGAACATGTCCTTGTAAACCACTGCCTGATCGATCTCCCTTTCAAAGCCAGATGGTTCATCTCAGGTTCTGCTCCATTTTGCCCAAGACTAAGTTCTTCACCCATATTGTCCACATAGTCGACCTGATTGTTCTCCTGCATCCTCCTCTTCCGGACATAGGTTCCTTGAACCTCGGCGACATTGTCATCATCGTCGCCATAACCATCACTGCCCTCACTGCTCTTCAACCCTCATACAGATGGTAGAGGGTACATTGCTGTCCCCAGTTTCGCCCTCCCCAAAGCATTCTTCCTCACCGACGGAGACAGACTGGATGCTCGAGATCTAAGATATCAACTACAGATGCTTCCTTATGGCCAACTCCAGGGTATCGACAAAATCATATTTCAGAGTCGTCTTGTGGCTCCCCAGTGTTATACCCGAGTAGGGAGGATACCTCTAGAGGGAGTAAGGCTTTCCGCTTACGTTGTAGACTATGCCCACCTTTTCCATTACGCAGAAGGGCACAACACAGACCTCCATACTCTCCACCACGTCCGCCAAGGTGACCCTTCTCAATTTCGTAGCGAGCTGGTCAGCCGCATCCTGCCCGATTTCCGAAACAGATAGGAAATGAAAGGCCTATCAGAAAAAAACATGAGGCAGATAACTTATGTGGCAGGCATGCCCGAGGCCTGGGTCTTGACTTAAGCACTAAGTTTATTGCCAAGACATACTTTCTTTCCCTAGAGTTCACTCACCTCGTTATAAAATTATGCAACGCGCATGCCATGACTGGCAGTCTAATGTTCTCCTTGGCAGTCATCAGGATTTCCCGCAGTCGTAGAATGCCGAGCTTTACATTCAACTCCCATTGTTCAGCAAAGCGGAAAGTGTCCAACCTGTTAATTCTAGATCATCAAATAACTTGGAAGGTCAGACGATCTCAAAGGATAGAAGATCCCGTATTTCTAAGCACTGAAGAAAAGCTTGAAATGGATTATGCAACACCCAGGGAATGTACAGCATGACCTAACATAGTGTCCCCAGAAATCGAATCAACATATACATTGCAGGCCACACCCACAGGATCTTGATACGACCAAAGACGCACACCCACAGGTTCTCCAGGCTGAACGAGACTAGAGATGTACTTGACATTCCCTAGCTTCATGAGATCACTGGGGTTCTTTAGATGGAGAGATTGGCATTGCTCTTTCGTCAATATGTGCAAGAAGAGTCGTCGCCTCTTTTTCGAGTTTATCAGAGAACTCCCTAATGTCTACATTGAAATCTAATATCCTGGCCTCCGGCCCTTGTCTCTTATGTCCTCGGACAACACTCTTATTTTCGAATGATAAAGGGAAATATCAGGGTCTTCCCACAGAAAACTAAACGACTATTGTGGGGCGGCGACATTAAGAGCTTCTTATCTGAAAGTGGGCATCTCAACATCTCGTGCAGTGTGATCTTAGGAGACCTTCAAGCTGTCAAAATCTCGTGCATATAGGAACTGGATGACGATTCCCTCAACATCTCGTGCAGTGTGATCGTAGGAGACCTTCAAGCTTTCAAAATTCTTGAAAGACATCGTTGGAGGTAATCACCGAGCAATGTTTAGTGGGCCGTAACAACTAATGTGTGGGAGAAAATACATGTTAATGAAAATTTTGAGGAAAACTATTAGCCTGTACAGTATATAATCTCACCGGGGAAAATCTTTGTCAAGCAGGTGTTGCCATGTGCTCATGGTCACCAAATCATCAAGAGAAACGTTAATTCTTGGGCATCTTGTAATCATCGATCAAGGTATTCAATGAACGATTAAATCAAATACATGAGGGAGATATAATCATGGGGCCTTGACAAACGTAAAAAACAAAACAATAAATGGAAAAGAAGAGAAACCGTCGCACCACACATGTAACAATGAGAGAAGGTAAAAAATTCATATGACAAGAATGAATCTCTACAGCACATCGTAAAATATATGAAAAATCAACTATCGATTTATTGTGGAACAGACAAGAATTGCTTCTGATAGCATGGCAAAATAGTCAAAAGGATAGTTTTTTGAGAATATATTTCTTTATCAGCTAGGTATTATGTGCAGTATATGTAGGTTTAATAAAAAATAATCAATGTAGCTTTGAATGTCTGTTTCCAGACCTTCTTACAGGAGGTTAACCAAGGTTCCCCACGGAATACACCCATTGCATGATTTTCTTTTCCGGAGGGCACAAACATCAAGAGTGGGCCACTCCTGAGGTTCTTGTTGAGGCCTGGGACCTGCGGGTACCAATTGGCGGAGGATGGCTTAGATCAACATTAGTGTTGGCGGGCAAAGGAGGTGGGAACTTAGGGGAAGGTTAGGGACGAGGATATAAAAACCCGCCCCCTTCGTGAGACAATGTGTTTTTTGTATAACTTAAAGTTGGTAAGTCTACCAAGAAACTTGAAAACAAGGCAATATTTTGAAGTTACATAGATTAGAGCTGGTTTGTCTTGTTTTCTGGACCGTCCTGGCCCATTTCAATGTTCTAGAGATTACCAAGATACAAGAAGCCAGAAAACCAGGAAATAGCCAGCGTAGCCCGAAAGCCTTACTCAAGCACCGGACTTTGGGCAGCCAGGGAAACAAATAGCCCACAAAATGGTATAAATATTGTGACTGATAACCTTAGGATGCAGATAATTCTGGCCTGAATCAAAGATATTCTGTAACTTTCTGTGGAGTAAAAATAATTGATATATTTGCCAGGATGTAAGGATAATAGCCAGAGACTGATGTGTGCGTTTGCGCAAACCTAGGGGAACAAATGGGCCACTAAATTCTAAAAAAAGAATGACAGATTACCTTACATTACGGATGATTGTGGTCCAAATCGGAGGATATTTTGAAATCTGAAATGGTATAAAAATAAATGATATATTTAGGGCGTGGATAAATGATCGTGTTCTTGATAATCCCTTGGAAATGTTCTGCCGAATAGGGAATCTTTCAGTGCTGGCCGCCAACGCTGTCGACACGACCGCGCATGGACACCCTGAGCTATACGGCACCTCCCTCAACAATTAATGTGGGCGACAGTGAGCGGCAGAGCATTCGTGGTTGACAATGAGTCAGACGAAGACTTAAGGTGTTGCCCTTTTCATTCTCATGAGCAGACCAGTTTTGTTTCCTAGGTTGAGTCGGACGTGTCCTTCAAAGGGGGCTCCAGAACATCGGTCGGGTAAGTTCGGGAGTTGGCAAGGTGTGGATCATAAGTCCATAGGCCCCACCTTCTCTGTATATTTGTCTTTCTATCTGTCTCTGCCCGTCCGACCATCTGTCTGTCTGTCTGTCTGTCTCTCTCTCGTCTAAATGGGTGAAACGGGAACTGTAATACCGCCCAAATTCGCCCTTCCAGCTCGGCCTTCATGGAAAAGTTCACGCATGCTTGATTGCAATTAGGCTAGTCGGTGGCGTCTAGTTCAGTGTAAATAATTCATATCAGATGGAGAAGGCGATGTATAATGCAGATTCTGACCTTGCTTAAAAGATGGAAGTAGAGTGGGTGCATTCCCGGTAACAGTCCCCATAGATGGTTTCCTGGCCGTGAAGACGACGTCTAGGTAAGCATTCGCCAAGTTTTTTATCGATAAGTCTGAACCTCCATCTAGGATGGGCAACAAGATTACGGAGATATGTGCAGGTGTGCCGTATCCTGGCATCTATGTCCAATTATTGCCTCAAAAACCACTGATTTTTACGTCATCTATGTCCGCATCTACTGGAATTATCATATGCAGGCAAAAGCAAGCATGAATCGGGACACTTACCACGCGAGGGAGGGTCTGAAGGGTGTAGTCGATGTCAAACACAAGCAGGCGAGGGAGGGCCTGGAAGAGGTCCAGAAATATCTGCAGGGCCCCCTCCTCCACCCTCTCCGCCCCCCATCGCTCCGTCCCATTGCCCCTTCTTCCCACCTCTTCCGACGAGGCGCCGCGAGAAAGCACTCCGTTTACCCTTTTCGAAATAGGCCAAGAACAGGCCGTGCATTTCTGAAGGGCGAGCCCGGCACATGCACCAACTCTATCCTACCACGTGTCTTGAAAAGCTTACGCCCCTTGCGATTCCAGCTCATGGGCCATGTAGGGGTGCCATTAGAGGCATGTGGGCCGGCTATAAGCATGATCTGTGATTTTCCTCACCTTTTCGTGCCTTACTGTATCAGAGTTTTGCCACGTGCACGAATGATATTCCGCCATGGGTTCTCCAGCATGGGAGATTAGTTATTCACTTTTCGTTCTCCGACGGACGTACCAACGGATGGTATGGGAAGAAATTTAGTGACGAGGAGGGTGGTAGTACATGCGCCGCTGAGCACGGTTGATTGTTGACCAAATGTCTCCACCTGGGTGGATAGCGCGAGCAACAGCTGTGGGTGGTGTTTATGAATATTTTAATAGATGATAGTTGGTGATCCATGAGCAACACCTGACGAATTTCTTTGCTTGAAACTACTCCAAACATCGATATTTTGTTCTTCGAAGAATGGGAAGGCCCAACATTCATCTATGGATTTAAGATGCCGGAGACCACAGAGAGGAAAATTGTGGGGTTCCGATTCATGTAATGACCATCGTGGCCCCATTGATTTACCCAAATTTCTGGAAGAATATGAGCCCATAAATGGAATGGGACAGAGCAGGTAAACTCGGCATCTTGACATACAAAGCAGCAGCATTCAAACGTCAGATGTTACGAGAAAAAAATAATAGTAATTTAAAAATAGATATATTTTTTAAAAATAATCAGCTCATTCTTCCTTCCATCCCCTACGACGGTGGAACTTGACAGGTTCTACACGCAGAGACGAGGGCGAGAGAGGGAGGGTGGGTAACCGGGGGGAGGGGGGGGGGGAGGTGGAGGGAAAGCCATTGACACCCGTACACCTCAAGAAGGTCGCCGACGTGCATCGACCTCTAGATTCATTCCGGCTGGGAGGAATAAAGGGTTAGAAGCAGACAGGCGAGAGAAGGTCGGTCTGTGCTCAAGGGACCACCACGTATAGCCTGTTGCCCGCTTTCTAGGTGTGACTGAGCCTGGAAGACTTTGCTGGAGCCGAGAGTGATTGAAGATCAGACAGAGCGAACCTACCCAGCACAGACCTCTGCAGCACCATCAGTCAGGGAAAAAACCTACCGGGCAAGTCGCACTGAGTCTCCAGTCGACACCCATGCACCTCAAGAAGCAAGTATAAAAGTCATGGAGTTGAAGATCATTAGTGCTGAGGGCCAAGGAGGAAGAATTTATAAGAATTCTAGGGACGATGATATGAAGAACAGTCCCCCTTCATGGGAAAGTTCTTTTTTTCTTTTACGTAAAGCTGCAAAGTGGACCAAGAAACTTGAAAACAAGGCAATATTTTGAAGTTAGGTCTTGTTTTTTTTTTTTCTGGACCGTCCATGCCCTTTTCAATGTTCTTGAGATTACCAAGGTAGAAGAAGCCCGAAAACCGGGAAACCGCCAGTGTATATCCAAAGACTGGTTTTGCGTTGTGCAAGCTCAGGGCAACAAATCCCTCACAAAATGGTATAAATATGGTGATAGATTACCTTACGATGCGGATGGTTGTGGCTCGAATCCGATGAAATTTTGCATATTTAAATGGAATAAAAATAAATGATATATTCGTGAGGATTTGAGGATGATATCTAGAAACTGGCGTGTGGATTTGTGCAACCAGAAAACAAATAGGCCATAAAATCGTAAAAATTGTGACAGGTTATCCTACAATGCGGATGTCGTGGCCCTAATCGGAAGATATTTTGAAATTTTAAATAGTATAGAAATAAGTGAAATATTTACGGCGTTGATAAATGATCATGCTCTCGATAATACCTTGGAAATTTTCTGCCGAATAGAGAATCTTTCACTGCTGATTACCAATCCTGTTTACGTCACCGCACATGGGCATCGTGGGCTAGACGGCACCTTCCTCAACATCGTATGCGCGCGACACTGAGTGGGAAAGGTCTGGCTCCGAAGTCCAAAGGCCCCACCTTTCTAACCCACAGTCCACTGCATCCTTTCCCTGCTTCCCCTCTGTCTGTCTGTTTTTGTCTCAGTACGATTGTCTGTCTACCTGTCTCTGTCTCTCCAACCGTCTCTCTCTCTCTCTCTCTCTCTCTCTGTCTCTGGGCTGAATGGGTAAGAGGGGAGCCGTAATACCGCCCGACTCTGCCATTCCAGCTCTAACTCCCAGAAAAACTCACGCAGGCTTGATTGCCATTAAGTTCGTTAGTGGCGTGGACGAAGTGAGTATCTACTTCAGTGTAACTCTCCAAGCGCTATCTTAAGCATAATAAATAGTTATATTTATGGCGTGGATAAACGATTATATTCTTGATACTGCCTTGGAAATGTTCGGTCGAATAGGGAATCTTGGACGGCTGGCCGCCGACATCGTGGCCTACACGGCATCGTGTGTTGAGAATGAGTCAGTCATGAGCGGGAGCTGTTGACATCGTGGGAATAGACGAAGACTTGAGATGTTGCCCTTTTCGTTCTCATGAGCGGACCAGTTTTGTTTTCTACGTTGAGTCGGACATGTCCTGATACCAGGGCGCTCCAGAAAATCTGTCGGGGTGCGTTCGGGAGTTGGCAACGTGTGGGTCATATGTGCAAAGGCCCCACCCTTCTAACCTAATTCCATTGCATCCTTTGCTCATTCGCCTTTTTGTCTGTCTATGTGTCTGTTTGTTTGTCTGTCTGTATGTCTCTGTACATTTGTCTGTCTGCCTGTCTCTGTTTGTCCGACCATCTCTCTCTCTCTCTCTCTCTCTCTCTCTCTCTCTCTGTAAGTTAGATGGGTGAAACGGGAGCCGTATTACCGCCCAACTTTGCCCTTCCAGCTCTACCTTCAAAGAAAAATTCGCGCATGCTTCATTGCAATTAGGTTCGTTGGTGGCGTGGACGAAGCGACCGTCTGCGTCTACTTAAGTGATACTCTCCCAGCTATCATAAACACAATAAATAGTTCAAATCAAAGGGGATGACTTCACCTATAATGCCTTTAAGCAGAACAGTCCGACTTGGCATCATTAAATGGAAATAGAGTATAAGCATTCTCGGTATCAATCCTCCTCGACGGCTTCCTAGCCTTGAAGGCGACGTCTAGGTAAACATTCGCCATGTTCTTTGCAATAAATCTGCACCTTCATTGCTAGGGAGATATGTGCAGGTGTGCCGTATCTTGGTAGTGGCCTGAATCCGAGAAAACACCAACCGGTCTCCCCTACCTGGTATCCATAAATGGTGAGGGTGGAGAACGGAGCCACCGCACTCCTCCGTCCTGTATGTCTGTCGACCCTCGATCGAGTTTCATCATCGTGCAGGATGGAAAGAAAACTGAACCTTATTCCTTTCAGGGCCAGGATTGGTTGGTCACAGCCTCCATACCTTTTCTTCTTCTTCGTCTTGATCTTCTTCTGCATGCTCCAGCCTCTCGGAAGTCTGTTAGTTAGAGCTCAATCCAAGGAGCTAACTGTTCGGGTTATAAAGCTCAGTTCCGTGAAAGAAAATTTTGAACGTCCCCTCAATTAGATTTCCCTTCCCCACACAAGGCAGGCAGGCTCGGCTATCACGAGTTGTCCACGGGGTCGACGCCTCCCCTATTCCGTATTCGTGGTTCCTCTCTTTTCATAACAAAGTTTGTATCATGAGTTCATCTTGATCCATTGCAGGTTTCATAAGCATCGACTGCGGCTTGGCTGGTGGCTCGGGCTACGGAGACGAGGACAATGGCTTACAATACACCGGCGACTCTCGATACATCGGCACGGGAGAGAACAAGAACGTCTCTGAGAACAGATTTGCTCGGTGCTATGGAACTCTCCATTGCTTCCCTAACGGGACGCGGAACTGTTACAGCCTGTCGCAGGTACAATCCGGCAACAAGTATCTGATTCGAGCCGTATTCTTTTATGGCAACTACGACGGCAAAAACTCCTCCCCCACCTTCCATCTCCACATCGGGGTCAATTTCTGGACCACTGTCACAATGGGATCCGACGGTGGTCTCGTCTCCGAGATCATCACGGTGTCGCGGGGGAATGTCATACAGGTGTGCCTGGTCAACACGGGGAAGGGCACGCCCTTCATATCGGTGCTCGAGCTGAGGCCCCTCCTCGATGTCATGTATCCTTTCGCCAACGCGTCTCAATCCTGATGTCTCGTCTCATCTTACTCCCTTGTATTCCTGATGTCTTACCCTTCTGTCTGAGTTCCTCTCTGACGAAAAGTATGCTTTTTTGTGCACCAGTTTCTGCCATTGAAGACATCAAAAGAGCATTCAAACTGACGAGAAACTGGGAGGCGGATCCTTGCTCCCCAAGAAACTATACTTGGCAGGGAGTGAGCTGCAACTACAGTGGAGACTCCGAACCTCCGAGGATCATCTCTCTGTGAGTCTAGTCAACATATCAGTAGATATTTTTACGTCAAGTTTATTTTCTCAAAAACTAACATTTGGAAAGAAAGATTTCCATTCAAGCCGATACGATAGATGCTAAACTTTCATTTTCAAGAAAAGCTCTTGAAAATTATGGTTTTAGCTTAGATAACCTAGACTTGTTGACTCCCTTCCTCCGAGATACAATTTCTTTGCGTACATGCTAGTAACATTCATGGAGCTTTCAAAGGGTTAAGAACCTTTACCAAACTGGTTTCACTGGGGAACTTCATTATTGATCACATGGTTTATTATTTGAATCATGCAGGAACTTATCATCAAGCAATTTGGATGGCCCAATTCCTACTTCGATTGGTAACTTGACAGCGCTGGTGACCTTGTAAGCATTAATTTTCGTCATTAAAAAGTATAATGAAATTCTTTATTCATATTTATGTGATATACTTAACATGTAAATCATGCTGAAGAAGCTACAAAAAATCTAATCAAATTTTCTTAAGAAGTACATTCAGCCATGTAAGGTAAATCATAACAACTCACAGAACTTATCCACTTTCAGAGATTTGTCAAATAACAATTTGACGGTACCAATACCAGATATTTTGGGAGAGTTAAAAATCTCTGCAGTTACTGTAAGTTTGCTTGTCAACCTTATGCAGTAATTGATAACCACTTCTATGTTTGATACTATCTTAATGAAAACTTTTATGCGCTCTTGTAGGAACTTGTCTAGAAATGAAGGCATTGGACTCATCCCTTGAAAGATCGTCTCTCATTGAGGTTAGTAAAGACATATATCAATCATTTCCAATGCGATTAATGTCTAGGAACCTAATGCACAAAAATGTCAATAATGAGAAATAAAGACACAATGTCCATTTTTTGTCACATATATTTTCAATCACACAAGGATCACCTAGGTTCTGTATAATGAACAATATTATATATTCTAATTACTTCAAATTGAAAAATTATATCTATTATCCTGCTCTACAGAGGAATTTGTGTGTTCTAAAGTCTCTTATCCTTCTCCGTGTCCTCTCTCTTTCTCTCTGCTGTCTGTTTCGAGTGAATGAACACAGTTTTAATCTATCAGAATCGTCAGCTGCAACAATCAGTTCCCCGGCCCATCTGTGATCTCCACATCGCGGTCGATTTCAGGATCACGGTCACGTTTGGATCCGAGGACGGTTTCGTCTACGACATCGTCCCGGCGTCGCGGAGAGATATCACACAGGTGTTGTGTTGTCAGCTTAGCCAACGTCACGCCCATCAAAACGGTGTTAGAGCTGAGGCCCCTCCGTGATTTCATTTATCCTTTCGCTGACGCTTCTCAATCCTTCGCGAATCAGGCGAGCTGGAACACCGGAACTGAAGATCAATTCAGGTATTGTTAAGCCGATTTGTGGAACTCAGTACCACCATCTGTCAAGTTACTCCGACTTTCGAGCAGCGGTATCTAGGAGCACCTTCCTCAGTCCGCAACTCCTACGATAATGCCGTACCGTTCGCCTCGTAGATATCCTGATGACCCTTACGACCGCATCTTGTACTGGAGACCACCAGCGAAGTGGAGGTGACAGGACGAGTTGGTCAGTGGGAGTCCAGGTGAGATGATATACGTTGTCACGCACTTTGCAGAGTTTCCGAAACTAAATTCTGCCAAGGAATCGCAGCAATTGGACAAGAAACTGTTGTTGGAGCTCCCGTTCTCCAGCAGTACGGAACTCTCCGTAGCTTCCCTGACGGGACGCGGGAAAAATCCAGCAACAGGTACCTGATTCGAGCTGGTACTGTCTCCCTATCTTCGATCTCCAGATGGGGGTCAATTTCTGGACTGCCATCCGAATGGGATCCGACGACAGTTGAGTGGAGCAACTCTAGAAAGAAGCATAGATCTGTAGGGCATGCCGAAGCCTTTTCCCACCAAGTGGTGTATTCCTGCTGTCGTACTCCTCAGTCTGAGGGCTTCTGAGATGAAAAGTACGCTTTGAGCACCAGTTTCCGCCATTGGAGTAGGCATAGCCAGATGAAAACTACGCTTTCGAAATCAAAATTATCAGTCGTTTCTCGAAATGTATCCAGACAAGATGAATTGTGTCTTCTTAGGAACGAATGCGTTAAGTGTAGATTCATTTACTTGTCATCACTATTGCTGTTATATTGAACTGCTGAGTGAAATAATGGTCTATTAGAGACTTTTATCGTTGAAAATTATTTACTTTGAAACAATGACTCATTCTACGACCGATTCCATACTTCCGTAGATCCATTCGTAAGGCTACCAGTAGATCTATTGAAGTCCTTGTATGTTGTTTTATTTGACAATAGTTGGTTCCTCGTAGCTCCCCTAAACAAAACCAAAACATCTGTAGGCGAGCAAGTTATTTCTTTCTTTATGAAATCTATGTTCTTCTTCCACTCTAAAATCTGGTAAAAAAATTTGCTCTAATATGCTGACTTTAAAGTTTGATGACATTGACTTGTTGTAAAGTATTAAACCCTTTATTACTTATTCAGGGATATTCTTCTGGTAAACGATCTGTAGTCGTTGAACTTCATGGGCACAGGGATCCCATGCTCCTGGGTGAGCATAGCCTTCTTCTTGATCTCCGCCAGGTCCTCTCTAAAGATGGGCAACAAGTCTCTGATATCCATCTCCAGGGGCGTCATCCTCAGCCTCCGTCTCGAGACGAAGGCCCTCCTCTCTCTCTCACTCTCTCTCTAACTCCTCCAACCTCTGCAAGATGTCCGCATCTACAAAATCATACACCTAGTGCCAATCTAAGATTTCCGGCAGTATGTCCTCCTCCCATTCATTAGCCAAGATGTATGCTCCACAGTTGGGCTCTGACGTTGGGTCTGCAAGAGTATGATGTCAATAGAGTCATTTTACTTTGGAACCGGAGTCATCTTCTTTAAATTGTGCTTCGCCATCTTTGATATTTTCTGTGAGAGGTCTGCAATGACCTACGAACCATTAAAGAAAAGATGATTGAATAGAAAGAAAGAATTCTGCAACAACAAGCTGTGTCGTCAAACGGCAAAAGGAGACATCCAAGTCTTGCTCAAAATCGTAGAAACTTTCATTCCCTTTAAACAGCATCACAGAGTGCCGGGTCACATGGGATACTGTGAATTGTGCTTCACTCAAAACAACCATGAATCTGAAATCCATTCTTCCTCGAATAAAACCCCTGACGTTTATCCATTATAGTTGGGATTTGTCTTCTCTCTCATCGTGGTGATTGGCAAAAGATGACACAGAAAAATTAATCGAGGTTACTGGTTTACTTATTCAAACATTTTCATGCAGATTACTATTTCCAACCGAATCACAAGTAAACTGGTCACATGAGTTTGAACAAGAGACGTTCAACGGGTTCAACAAGTGGAAACTGTGCAACCTTGTATTTCAAGATTATCTTCAGATATCTGGGAAGGACAGACAATGTCAAATAACAGCCAGGGAATGAACGGCATAACTTGTACACCGAGTCCCCAGAGAGTCGCCGAGAATCAACAAACACATTAAAGGTCGAAGTTGGCTCCAGGGCTCTGAATAGGATGTTGAAATGCTCAAAGTCGTTCTCTCCGCCATTACTGTTTATCGAGTACATGCCAATATTGCCGGCTTTCTAAATAAGAAAGTTGAAGGCAGTAAGATAGGTTGGAGCACTCACGTCGGTTTCGTCGATGGTTCCATTACGGACCGCGCGGCAAGCACACCCACCCACAGGTTCTCCAGGCTGAGCGAGGCTACAGATATACTTGACCTTCACTAGCATCATGAGATCACTCTGTTTCTTTAGGTAAAGAGATTTCCGTTGCTTCTTTGTCAACTTGTGCAAAAAAGACGTCGCCTCTTGTTCGAGATTATTGGGCAAGTCCTTAATGTATGCATTGGACTGTAATATCTTGACGTTTGCCCCATGTCTGTTAAGTCTGTGTAGGACAACACTCTGATTATGTGAATAGTGGAGGAAAAAATTAAGGTCATTTGACAGAAAACTAAACAACTCGTCTGGGGTGGCGACATTCAGAGCTTCTGATCTTACGTTGGCCAGCGATTCAAATTGTGTGAGATAGCTTGTCTGATGAACATCGACCCATCGTCCCCATAGGGGAACTGAATGACAGTTCCATCAACATCTCGTAGAGTGTGATCGTAGGAGAGCTTCAAGCCGTCTAGATTCTTGATGACACATCTTAGGAGGTAACCACTGCGGGATGTTTTGATGGCAATATCGACTAATCTGTTGAAGAAAGTACACGTTAAGGAAAATCTGTGGAAAAGACACTATAGCCTATACAGTGTATAATATCCCCGGAAAGTTTTTGTTGAGGAAGTGACATTATTTATTAATGGTCACCAAGTGATCAAGAGAAACTTCAGTCTGAGGCTTTGAACAGTGGAGCTGAAAGCATGGCGGACATTTTGACAGTAAACTTTGTTACCATGAAAATTCCTCAGCGCGTTCTTTTGAAGCGCAAGAGAAGGATAATTTTTCTGCGAAGCAATAGTTTATGGGGATGATATTCAAAGAGTGGCGTGTGCGATGTGCAAGTCCAGAGAAACAAATAGCTCACGAAAGTGGTGTAAATATGGTGCTAGATTATACCTTACGATACGGATGGTTGTGGCCCAAATCGAAAGACATTTTGAAACTTTAAATAGAATAAAAATAAATCTAATTTATTTGTGCGGATGTTGTGCGCATGACATCCAGAGACTGGCGTGTGCGTTTATAAAAGCCCAGGGAGACAAATAACCCAGAAAATTGTAAGAAAATGGAGCCAGGTTGCCTTAAAATAGGAAGATACTTTGATCTTGAAACGGTATAAAAATAAATGTTATATTTGCGGCGTGGATAAATTCTTAATACTGCCTTGGAAATGTTCGGTCGAATAGGGAATCTTTGACTGCTGGCCGCCAATGATGTCAACTTCACCGCGCATGGACATCGTGGCCTACACGGCATCGTGCGTTGACAATGAGTCAGACGAAGACTTGAGATGTTGCCCTTTTTTGTTCTCATGAGTGGTCCAGTTTTGTTTTCTACGTTAAGTCGGACATGTCCTGATACCCGGGCGCCACCTATAATTCAGACTCCGACTTGGCTTCATTAGATAGAAGCAGAGTGGAAACATTCCCGGAAGTAATCCCTGCGGATGGCTTCCTGGCCATGAAGGCGACGTCTAGGTAAATATTCGCCGTCTTTTACGATAAATCTGCACCTCCGTCTACCAGTAGGCAAGAAGATTAGGGAGACATGTGGAGGTGTGTTGTATCCTGGTAGTGGCTTGACTTCAAGAGGAGACCAAACCCGTATCCACTGCCTGCTATCCATAAAGGGTGACAGTGGAGAACGGAGCTACCACCCTCCTTTCTGTCCTCTGAGTGCGTCGACCTTCGATTGAGTTTCATCGTCGTAGGGATGGAGAGAAGACAGAACCTTACACCTTTTAGGGCCAGGATTGGTTGGCAACAGCCTCCATGCCGTTTCTTCTTTTTCATCTTGACCTTCTGCATGGTCCAGCTATTCGGAACCCTGCTGGTTCGAGCTCAGTTCCAGGAAGGTAAGCTAACTGAGGGGGTTATAAAGCAGATTTTGAACATCCCCTCGATTAGATTTCTCTTCCCCACACAAGACAGGCAGGCTGGCGTCGCCTGTCACGAGCTGCCCGCGGGGTCAACGCCTCCCCTATTCTACCACATTTATGGATCCTCTCTTTTATGAAAACAAAGTTTGTATCATGAGTTCATCTTGATCCATTGCAGGGTTCATAAGCATCGACTGCGGCTTGGTTGGTGGCTCGGACTATGGAGACCACGACAATGGCTTACAATACACCGGCGACTCTCGATACATCGACACGGGAGAGAACAAGAACGTCTCTGAGAACAGATTTGCTCGGCGCTATGGAACTCTCCGTAGCTTCCCTAACGGGACTCGGAACTGTTATAGGCTGTCGCCGGTACAATCCGGCAACAAGTACCTGATTCGAGCCATTTTCACTTATGGCAACTACGACGGCAAAAACTCCTCCCCCACCTTCGATCTCCATATCGGGGTCAATTTCTGGACCACCGTCACAATAGGATCCGACCCTGATCTCGTCTCCGAGATCATCACGGTGTCGCGGGGGAATGTCATACAGGTGTGCCTGGTCAACACGGGGAAGGGCACGCCCTTCATATCGGTGCTCCTGCTGAGGCCCCTCGATGTCATGTATCCTTTCGCCAACGCGTCTCAATCCTTGGACATGTATCGTCGCTCGAATTACGGAGCCGAAAGGGAATTAAGGTATTGTTCAGCTTGATTTACCCCCCTTGGATTCACTAAACGCAGGACCGGCATGTATTAAGGTGACGCATACAATCAAGCAGCGGCCTCTTGGGGCGCCTTCCTCACTTGGCACCTCCTGCGGTTACACCCTCAAGGAAGACCCTCAAGAATGGAGACGCATACAATCAAGCTGTGGCCTCAAGAACATACCTCCTGCGGCTACACCGACAAAAAAAAAAAGAAGAAAAAAACAGTAATCAACTTGATTAATTGAGTAGCGTTAACCTCGCAGGTATCCGGATGACCCTTACGACCGCATCTGGACAAATGTCACCGAGGATTTCCTCCTACTGAACACCACAAGCGAAGTGGATGTGAAAGAAGATGACGCCTTTCGGGTGCCCTCGAAAGTTCTCCAAACGGCCGTGTCTGACACAAGAACCGACTATAATATGACCATTCAGGCGGTCAGGGGGAGTCCAGGTGAGAGGATTTACGTCGTCATGCACTTTGCAGAGCTCCTGAAACTAAATTCTCCTAACGAATCGAGGCAAATGGACATCAAAGGATTGGACGGAAATGTGCGCCTGTTTGAAAACTACAGCCCTCCCTATCTGAGAGTAGACCATATAGAGATTGCAAACGTTGCTCTTGACGCTTCGGGATCTTACAACGTCTCCATCTATGCCTCAAGCTCGTCCACATGCTCGTTCACGATCAACGCCCTGGAGAGTTTTATTGTGAGGCCAATGAATGAGTCAGAGACTGATGATCATGATGGTGAGAAGAGCTCCTGCATATAATTTCCCACTTCACTTTTCGTTATTTCACTTTTAATTTATTGTTTTGCTCATCGTCAGTGCCTCATTTAACCTCAATTAAGTAAAACATCATCATCACCTGAATGCACCAACTTTACAGACCGACAAAAACGTGTTTGCGCGTCCTGAATTCAGCCTTTTCCCAGCAACTGGCATGCTGATGTCTCGTCTCATCTTACTCCCTTGTATTCCTGATGTCTTACCCTTCAGTGTGTGCTCCTCTCTGACGAAAAGAATGCTTTTTTGTGCACCAGTTTCTGCCATTGAAGACATCAAAAGAGCATTCAAACTGTCGAGAAACTGGGAGGCGGATCCTTGCTCTCCAAGAAACTATACCTGGCAGGGGGTGAGCTGCAACTACAGTGGAGACTCCGGACCTGCGAGGATCATCTCTCTGTGAGTCTAGTTAACACATCAGGAGGTATTTTTAGGTCACGTTTATTTTTTCAAGAATTAACATCTAGAAAGAAAGTGATTCAAGCTGATACGATAGATGCTAAACTTTCATTTTCAAGAAAACCCTGGAAAATTATGATTTTAGCGCAGATTACCTAGACTTGTTGACTTTCTTCCTCCGAAATATTATTTCTTTGCATACATTCTAGTAAGATACCTGGAGCTTTCAAAGGGGTAAAAACCTGTACTAAACTGGTTTCATTTGGGAACTTCATTATTGGTCACATGGTTTATTATTTGAATCATGCAGGGACTTATCATCAAGCAATTTGGATGGCCCGATTCCTACATCGATTGGTAACTTGACAGCGCTGGTGACCTTGTAAGCATTAATTTTCCTCATCAAATAAGTATAATGAAATTCTTTATTGATATTTATGTGGTATGCTTAACATGTAAATCATGCTGAAGAAGCTATAAAAACTGTCATCAAATTTGCTGAATAAGTACATTCAGCCATGTAACGTAAACTGTAACAACTGACATAACCCATCCCCTTTCAGAGATTTGTCAAATAACAATTTGACGGGACCAGTACCAGATATTTTGGGGGAGTTACAATCTCTGCAGTTACTGTAAGCTTCCTTGTCAACCTTATGCAGTAATTGATAACAACTTCTATGTTTTATACCATCTTAAAGAAAACTTTTATGCGCTCTTGTAGAAACCTGTCTAGAAATGAAGCCATTGGAGCCATCCCTCAAAATCTATGTGAGAAAATGTTCAAAGGTGCTATCTCGTTGAGGTTAGTAAATACACCAATCAATCATTTTCAATGTGATTACTGTCTAGGAACCTAATGCATAAAACTGTCAATAATGAGAAATAACTACACAACGTCCATTTTTTGTCACATGTATTTTCAATCATACAAGGATCACCTAGGTTGTGTATAATGAATAATATTATATATTCTAGTTACTTCAAATTGAAAAGTTATATGTACTATCTGCTATAGATTTTATGATTTCATCTAATTAAGCTTGGCAATTAAAATCATTATCAATCTATTATGTTTATGAATGTCAATTTCTTTAAGAGATAATCTTTCCCTATTATTCCTTTTCAGTGATAGTATTTATGGTGACCCAAAGCAATGTGAGAGTTTGAAAAGCAACAAGAGGAAGAAGATTATTATTACTATAATAATAGTCGCATCAATAATCAGTACAATGTTGTTCGCCATATCAGTTTTTTTAATCAAAAGGAAGAGGAAAGCATACACTTATGGAGGTATGTTGAAGTATATTTTCTTTTTATGTATACAAAATTGTAGGCAACCAAATAACTCAATTAGTTAAGAATTATTTATTTTAATATTTATATACTCTTCAGGTTTCTCAAATAAACAAAACAAGAATGCTTGGAAGAGTGCAGGAAGAGATGACAATGCTTGGAAAAGAGAAAGTGTGCAATTTACACACTCAGATATTATTCAAATTACACAAAACTTTCAGTATCAGATTGGTAAAGGGGGTTTTGGGACTGTTTATCTTGGTAACTTGAATGATGGGACTAACGTTGCAGTAAAGGTTCTTTCCTCATCATCATTACAAGGATCTAAGGAATTTGAAGCAGAGGTAACTGAAAAAAATAAATTATCTAAAATATTTTATTTTTAAAAATATTATCATCTACATACATCAATATAAAAATAAAAATTTTATTTAATAAGCTTCTCATATTTCAGGTTTTACTGCTTGGAAGAGTGCATCACAAAAATCTAGTGTGCTTATTGGGATATTGTGCTGACTCACGACATTTATCACTTGTTTATGAATACATGGACAATAAAACCCTCAAAGATCACTTGTCAGGTCTTACTTTTCAAATTTCCTTAATTCTCAATTTAGTAGAATCAATTGACAGTCTTTAGTAATATATGCATTTTCTCATATACACTTTAAATGCATCATCAACATAGGATATGATTTCCATGGCTGATATTCTTATTTTAGGAATTCATGATGCCAGTCTTTTAAATTGGAACCAAAGAGTGAATATAGCACTTCAATCTGCACAAGGTACCTTTGTCTATACATCCATGACTTGACTTCAAATTAAGTCATTAAAATGGATTCTTATATTACCATTGTTGAAACAATTACAGGGCTAGATTATCTACATAATGGATGTCAACCACCTATTATTCATAGAGATATTAAAAGCAGTAACATTCTTTTAAATTGTGAACTTGTTGCAAAGTTAGCTGATTTTGGACTATCAAGAACATTCAATACTGATTCCGCTACACACATAACAACTAGGTTTGGTGGTACTCCAGGATATCTTGCTCCTGAGTAAGTACCCCTCTCTATTGTTGTGCATCTCAATATTATATATTTAATACATATTTTTTGTCAACTTGTGATAAAATACTAATAAATACTTATGTAATGAACTTCTTTCTATTAATTTAGGTACTTTCAAAATGATATAATAAATCAAAAAGGTGATGTATATAGTTTTGGGATTGTTCTTTTGGAGATTATAACAGGTCAACCACTGTATCAAAACTCCATGGAGAAGACACATATTGTCAAGTGGATTCATTCAAAAGTTCAAAATGGTGACATCAATAATATTATCGATCCTAAGTTACAAGGAGATTTTGACATCAATATGGCATGGAAAGTAGTAGAAATAGCAATGTCATGTACGTCAACAACTCTAGAAGAAAGGATGACAATGACTGATGTGATGGTACAATTAAAGGAATGTTTAGATGTGAAGGAATCACATAGTGTGGTCGGAGACATCTAGTCTTTTATTCAAAGTTCAAATGGTACATTTGTGTTTGGATCAGCTACTCCTACAATTTTATTATGTGGGTAGCTCAGTACAATTCATGACTATGTACTAATCAAGATTTGTGAGACTATCAAAGGATCATATCTAAACCAACTATTTCAAGATTGTGTTAGACTTTACTTATTAGAGTTAGTACCAAAATATTTTTAAAACATATGCTTGTAAATCCCAATAAGAGCAGATTCAAGGCAATGTCACACTTTCTTGTTTTATTAAATTTGAATGAAATAATGTTCTTTTTGGGACTTCCATACTCAAGGATTTTTCACTAGCTCTTAAAGAATGATACTTATCCTTCATGTCATTCCATGCTACCTTATATCTACGAGAAATGGCATTTTCCCCTTCTATTTACACAAGTGCATATTAGTGTTGAAAGAACTAAAAATACATCAAGGTTCTTATTTGGGTATGATATAGCATTTTTATTGAAATGACATCTAGTAAAAAATCCATGAAAATTATTTCAAAATGTTAAAGTGAGTCAGAACTAATTAAATCAAGGTTGGGGAAGAAAATGTTTGCTTGTAATAATTGTACCAGATGCATGTTATTGCTGATTTCTCATTTAGATCTGTGGGTTCATGAGAACTTCAATTACTACTTGTCCAATATTTAGAATCTTGTGTATAGAATTGAAACACTAGAGTTTTAATGTCCCAACCATACTCAAATTGAGAATAGCCAATTTCCATGGGTCCAATGTAGTTTTTAGTTAGTTGTAGTAAACTGCTATTTTTGTCACATTTAGCCCAACTAAATTGAGGTATACATGCCTTTGACTGTACCCCAAATTGTTTAGCATTGGCCCTAATTTAAAAGCTATTTATATAACATACATCATACTTTGAACCCAAGGAAATGACCTAAAAGTACAAAGCTCATTAACCTTGTATGGATGGGCCAAGTCACTCAATTTCCATCTCCTAGCGATTGGTGGTGTCTTGTACCCTTCTTAACAAGAAGAAAATGTCATGGAAGAACAAGTGCAGGCTTCCTAAAGTCAATAGTGAGGTTTAGATTTGGTACACAACATGTGAGGAACTGGACAATTTTTCTAGAAAATAATGAATAATATAGATAAAGTATTTTATTTCCCTAGTTCAAAACAATTTAGTAGAAATCAAGCTTTTTGTGAAAAAATCTATATCAGTTAAATCATTAAAATTTTCTTTCAGCTAATGAGTTGACTTTGGCCACCTCCAACAAGAAATTGAATTTTTTAAGATGAAAAATCATCAGACATAATCATTCTAGTTGAACTTACAATTTACATATAGAAGGTAAGATTCAGCTCCATTAGCACGTATTCATCAAGTATATTATGTTGGCTTTTGGACATTACTTCATTTTGATGATGAAAAACTATATAGAATTAAAAAAATTGACCTCTTGAACTATATTAACTACTGATCTACATCATTATAAATGATAATGTCCCTCAGCCAAATAAAACATGTGCAAGAATAAAAAGGTCCATATACATCTTAAAATGGCATGATAAATTTTAGATTGAATGTTTTATCAAAGGCACAATTGTTTTTGGAAAGATACTCTAAAGAAATATACAATACAACATTTGTTATAAAAAATTCAAACATATCTGGGGTTTATGAACATTACTATATTAAATGATATTTTATGCTATAAAAATTCAAACATAGGTTTGATAATAGATTGCTCAATTTAGGCCATTGTTATTGATTCTTTAAGGGTCCATAATACAGAGTATAATGAGTAGACTTTGGCTTTTATTAAAGACCATTGACAAAGGAATAAAGGAGAAGAGTGTGAGCTAGAACGTCTACATACACCCTTTGAGCAGTTCACATGAGATTTCAAGGAACAAATCCATGAAAGATAGATAGATTTGATTGCTGCATAAACATTCCATGTCCTTTACGGAAGAGTAACATCCTCAAGAATAAACAAAGGATTTCATGCCTATAGTAGCTTTGGACTGAGGGATGCAAAGATTTCTATGTTGTTCACATTTAAAATTTGATTAGAAAGGAAATCTGTTGATTTGAATACATAACTTATTCTACTTAGAACCACCTAGAATAGATTAGTGCTTCATAATCTAGTTTTCTTGACTTAGATCTATGAAGCTAGAACTCCATCTAGATGAATACAAAAGAGGAGTAGATGGACGACTTATGTGGTTGAATTTGATGCTATTCAGACAAAATAGATGGATGGAGAAATTTTGATAAATTTCCTCAGAGATGAAAATGATTACTTGTAGGGAGAAGAAAGTAGCCAACATGTAAAAGTATGTTACAATAGAATCATAATCGAACCAACTAACCAATCATTATTCGGTGAGGAAAAGCATCCCAAACACAAACCCTAAGCCCTCCCACTCTCTACCTCAGATGCTAGAAGGATGACATTCACCAACTTATACTGAGGGCATCATCATCATCATCATAATCATCTGTTTAATCGTATATCCAACTAATGCCTCAGAACTCTTTCATTATATGTCATTTAACAACATGTCTACTTGTTTCCTTTTAACATGCAAGAAGAAAAGGCATGTCTCAAGAATTTCTACGAAGTAGAAGGGACAGACGATAGTTGAGATAGTCAAATGTGACAAGCTTGTGGGAGAGGGCGTGGAAGAGGCCTTAAAAAGATCTACAGGGCCTCCTTCACCTTCTCCCCTCCCCCATTGCGCCTTCACCTTGCCCCTTCTTCCAATCTCTTCTGCTTCCCCACTCCCCCTTTCGACAAGGTGCCGAGAGAAAGGCGGAGGATGCACTTCTGTTTCTCCTGTCTAAGATGGGCCTTGAGTTTGAGCCATTTCTGAAGGGCAAGCCTCTTGTTGGCCAGTTGGTGTTTGATCAGTGTTTTCCCACGTGGACAATGTTGGCTTTGCAAAGTCAGGAACAACCTCAAGTACTTCAAAATCAGAAAGGAAACAAGAAATTAGAAGTAGAATCAAGAATGCTCATTTGAATACAAGAACTGAAAAATGCAGCGCGCATTTCACCGAACACATAGTATCTTATTTATAGAGACCCAATAGGAAGAGGAGAGAGGGTGAGTCTAATGGCTGCTAGATTAGCTGGCACCATGTCTCACGTGGCCACTTATCTGCCGTTATAACTCCCAATGATGTGCAGCCTAGATTAAGTCTACAAAAGAAAAATAACAACTTGGATATAGAAAATAATTTCCCAAATCGCTGCTGCCAAAGAGTTTGCTGGACACAATGATTTCCCGTGGAGCTGGAGCAATTCCTTCAATCTCCTCCTTACTCCTACTCTATGCAAAGACTTCGAACTTCAAGGTGCCTTTACATCTCTTGAAATTTTTATCTTCCAAAAGCTTTGGTGAGAATATCAGCCAGCTGATCCTCCCTCCTAATGTAGAGGATTTTGATCTTCTTATCTTGAACACACTAATAAATGAAATGGTATCGGATGTCAATGTGCTTCGTTCAATTATGATGGACTGGATTCTTGCTCAATGTAACGGTCGATTGATTATTCACTATTATTTTGACTATATTCAGCTCCTCCCCTTTCATTTTGCTGACTAGGCAGTTCATTCACACAGCCTAACAAGCTGCCGCCGTGGCTGCCATATACTCGGCTTCACACGAGGATAAGGCCATGATGTTTTACTCCTGTCATGACCAATTAATGGCCATCCCTATGAAGAAATAAATGTGACTAGAGGTGCTCTTCCGATCATTTGCATCTCCTACAAAATCATTGTCACTGAACTCAATTAATTCAAAATTGAAACCACCTTTCTTGTAGAAGGGCCCATAGTCAATTGTACCTTTCACATATCTCATAATTTACTTGACCCCACTAAGATATTTCGAAGTAGGATTCTCCATGAATCTACTTAATACTCCTACTAAGTAAAGTAAATCGGGTCTTGTGTGTGTCAAGTACCTCAAACTCCTAATGAGGCTTCTGAATTTTGTGGAATTCACCCATGTGGTTGCTTCATTGTGGGTGAATTTTTCTCGAGCTTCAAGTGGTGTAAAAACAACATTGCAGTTTCCCATCTTTGCATGCTCTAAAATCTTTAAAGCATATGTTTTCTAAGAGAAGAAAATAAAGTCTTCGTCTTATTTGATTTCAAGTCCCAGATAAGAGTTCAATGATCCAAGATCAGTCATTTCGAATTTCTACTTCATCCTTGACTAGAAATCTTCAATACATTGGGGACTAGACCGTATTATGATTAAGTCATCAATATAAACTCCAACAATTAAGACTTCATTACCTGATCTCTTAAGATAAAGAGCTCGTTAAATTTTGCTCTTGTTAAATTTGAGAGAGACCAGACACTCATGAAGCTTGAAGTACTAGGCCCTTGGAGCTTGCTTTAAGCCATACAAGGCCTTCTTCAATCATAGGACAGAGCCTTCTCTGCCCTTCATAGTGAAACCATTCGATTGCTTCACATAAATCACCTCTTCAATCTCCCCATTCAAGAAAGCAGACTTGACATCAAGATGATGAATTATCCATCCTTTTAGAGGTGCTAAAGCAATTAGAGCTCTTATGGATTCGAAACGAACCACTGGGGTAAATACTTCCTCAGAATTAAACCCTTGCCTCTATGAGTATCCCTTCACAACAAGTTGAGCCTTGTGTCTGATGATCTCTCCTTGTGGATTCTTTTTCACCTTGAATATCCACTTTAGCCCAATTAGCTTGCAATTGGCTGGAGGTGACACAAGCTCTCATGTCTAACTTCAATCAATTCCCAGCATCTCCTCTTTCATGGCCTTTCTCCACACTTCTTCATGAGAAACTTCAATGTAAGAGTATGGTTCTTCATATGTGAGCATGGAAGCTTGATCATCAAGTGAAGTAGAGATCGTATCTAAGTACAATTCAGCTATGGACTTGTGAGGTTGACTTTCTTCAAAGTCACTTTGAGGGGCTGAATTCATTTCTCGAGAAGCAAAGACCTCCACATCTTCAATGTCAACATTAGAGTCTTCTTCCGTACCTTGATTAGGTAGAAAATTAGATAAAAAGGTATAAGAAGGGGAGATTTCACCTTACTTTGTCCAATCTCACTTGTCATTTTCGTCGAAAATGACATCTTGGCTGATATTGACCTTGCCTTTGATAAGGTCATAGCATCTGTAAGCCTTGGATCCAATCTCATAGCCAATGAAGACCATGGGTTGACTTCGATCTTCCAACTTGCTCAAAGGTCCTCTAGTACATTTCACATGGACAATTGAACCAAAAACATGCAAGTGATTGATGTGGGGCTTTCTTCCAGTCTACATCTCATAGAGAGTTTGACCCTGCAAAGTTTTTGTAAATGACCGATTAAGGATGTAAATAGCAATGCTTATTGCTTCTCTCCACATCTTTCGAGGGAGCTCCTTAGTCTTCAACATGAATCAGACCATGGACATCACAATGCAATTCTTCCTCTCCACCACCTCATTCTATTGAGGTGAGTAAGGTGCGGTCAATTATTTTTTAATGCCTTGTGAAACACAATAATTAACAAAATTCTTCAGACATGAATTCTCCTCCTCTGTCTAATTTGAAATTCTTAATCTTCACTCATTTTTCTATTTCTACCAAAGTCTTGAATTGCTTAAAGACCTTAAATGCATCTGATTTTTGCTTCAACATAGCCAGCCATGTTAGCCGAGAGTAATCATCAATGATGAGGAGAAAATACCTACTTCCCCCTAAGATAGGTGAGGTAATTGGCCCACAGATGTCAGCAAAGATGAGCTCTAGAGGCTCAGATGCTCGAAATGAAGAGGCATGAGGAAATGGCATCTGGTATTACTTTCAAACAACATAATTATGGCAGAGATGATCAGATATATTCATTTGAGGGACTGACGTGACTTAATCGTTGTATAGTAAATCACACAAATTTAAAATTTATAAAACTAGAAAATACAAATTTTTGGATATTTAGAAGTATTTCTAAACAAATATATCACTTATAATTCAATAAAATTTCCAAATATAGCAGTAATTTTCCAAGTAGATCACAGGGATGTAATATAATATTTAGTAATTATTTAGAATTCTCCTCAAAGAATATTATTTTCTATAAATTTTATACTCGGAAATAAAATAAAAAAATATTTAAAATTCACGAAAAAGGAAAATAAGGGTGCGGACGTCAGGATGATGTCAGCACCTGACGAACATGAATCGGGCGAAAATAGAGTTCCGTCCAACGATCCTTACATAAGTGATTATAGATGATTTAATTGATCAAATTAAGATCTGTAAAAGTCGAAAGAATCGTAATTGAATGAAGTATATCTTGGTAAATTTCAATCACACAAATTATCACTAAATGAAGCGAAAAGTAAGTTGAAAGTAGGAAAACAGAGTTCTCGCATCGCGATGGTGATGCATCGGCAATGCACCAGAATCCTAAGCATTCGAGAGGATCGTCGTATAGTGTCCACGGCCTCAAAGGCTCTCCTTGGACAAAGACGACATAGGTGATCTCTAGATCTCCTTGCAAAGCCTAGAGATCAATGAAATAGGTTGTCGAATCGTCTCCGGTGGTTGTCACCTAGTGGAGCAGAAAAATGATGACTTTGTAGTTGTCTAGGGGCTGTCACCCGACAAAGAGGAGTTGGATGGAGGTGGGGTGCATGTCAGGGAGCTTCATCCTCAGGTCCGCGCAGCAAGAGGAAGCTCTTCATCACATCTGGTATGCTCTCAGGAGGTGGCGACTCATCTCCCGACGGATTGTCCTCTTCCCAACGATGGCTTGTTCGTCAATCAATCAAAGATGCTTTACTTGATGGATTTGTGATCCTTTTATCGTGAATCATTCAACAATTTTAGTAACAATGCTCTGCGAGTCTTGTTGACGAGATTTTTATTGATAATCTATCAATTCTAGTGACTTAATCCTTCACCAACAATCTGCAAGAAAGTCGCGATAATTAGATAAAAAAATATGGGTTTTGGCTCTAGGAGGGTTCAAACTCGCATTGGTTACCCGCCTTTTCTGGGGAAGGTGTGACACGGGTTTAGTCTCACATCGCTTGTGTGCCAAAGTTTTTGGTAAATATATAGTAATGTTACATTTACAAGCAAGTCCCTTTCTTGCACGTGTACGACCTCTCCTTGCCCCACAACTGGCTGGCCACCAGTGACATGGAAGGGGAGTGGTGCACATGTCCCCTTATTAGTCCTAGCCGCTCAAGTCCTAACTCGTAGCTCTTCTCCGACTACACTTCCGACCTGCTTGTGGGCCTAGTTGGCTGGCAGGTCTCCCCCATTTTGTGATATTTTTATTTGTATTTCTTTTTTTTTATTTATCTCAAAAGTAAGACTCTAAAAATCATATAAAAACTTATAAAATCACATAATTACCTAAAAATTCACGTTAATCAATTGAAAACTACTTTTCACACTTTAACATAAATATAAGTCTATTTATCATGAGTTAAGGCTAAAACTATATTATTTACTAATTATTAACTCATGATAATGAAGACTTATCATTATTCATCAAGGTCATGAAGTGAAAATCTGTAAAATCAAACCCATGTTATCTATCATGTATCTAAGGAATATTCTTATCGATTCTTGTGACTGGTAACGACCGAGGGTGGCTCCATACCGGGTGTTATTGGAGTTCTTTTTTAAGATTTGAATGGTTCATGCTACTAGATTATTCTTTTGACTCAATAATAATCTTCTTAGTATCTTTTGGTATCAATCAATCTAATTGATTTAATTTTTCATGTGTGAATATGATGTAAGAAATTTGTAAATTAGATAGTTATGACAGTTCTATTTTCTATTTTTAATTTTGTTTTTAGCAACAATAAATTTGTCAAAAATAAATCAAAAGTATTCTCTTTATAACTATAATTTCAAATTTCAGTAATATATGTCTAGGAGATTAAAATGTGAGAAAAGGGTCTCTAGAATTTCAAATTTCAGGCTATTTTTTGTTTGTTGTTTTTAACAGTCTATTGTTCCTGACAGAAAATCAGAAAATAGATGTTATAATTTTTCTAAATTTTATTTTATTTTTATTTTTTTAGTTGTTGTTCTATCTGAGCATGAAAAAATAAAAAATAAAATGCAAACACATGTTCTTAATCATCCTACAGCATAAATTAATAATTAATACTTCACCCCCGAACCAAAAAATGACATTGTCCTCAATGACATAGAAAAATCGAAATAGAATATGTAGAAAATATAATTTTCAAGTGAAGCATGTATATATGCAAAGTTAAGCATTAAAAATATTGTCATAAATGATAAACTCGAAAATACATCACCTCAACCTTGTTTTTAGTTTTCCACTTCATCTTACACCCCTCCTGCACTTTTTTGAAAAAAAATAAATACAGAAACAAGTACTACAAAATTCTAAGAAAAATAGAGCTTAAAAAAAAAAAAAAAAAAAATGAAATAAAAACCATAGGTTGCCTCCCATGCAGTGCTGAATTTAAAGTCTCCAACTAGACACCTTGATCTTACTCTTGAATTTCTTTTAATAATAAAATCTCTTTTTCTGAAAGGCGTTCATGTTCGATGTAATGTTTAAGCCACTGTCCATTTACATTAAAGTTATGATCACTTTTAGGATCTTTAATCATTACAACCCCATGATCATATGTCTCTTCCACCACATTTGGCCCTGTCCATTTTGATTTTAATTTTCTTGGGAATAGTTTCAACCTAGAATCATATAACCACACTTTTTGTCCAACATCAACTTTTTTTTTGCTAATGTATTTATCATGAAAAGTTTTAGTTTTTTCTTTATATAATCTATAATTTTCATAAGCTTCATTCCTCAACTCCTCTAGTTTATGTAGCTGAAAAATTCTATGCCCACCAACTGATTTTTCATCCAGACATAAATTTTTTATAGCCCATAATGCTTTATGCTCTATTTCCACAAGAAGATGACATGGCTTTCCAAAAATGAGACAAAATGGGGACATACCTATCGGATTTTTATAAGTTGTTCTATAAGCCCATAATATATCTTGTAATTTCGTGGGCCAATCTTTCCTATTTGGTTTGACTATTTTTCTCAAAATTTTCTAAATTTCCCTATTTGCTACTTCAGCTTGCCCATTTGTTTGGGGATGATATGAAGTGGCTACTCTATAGTGTACTCCATTCTTTTTCAACAGTTTCCTAAAATATTTATTTGTAAAATGTGTTCCTCCATCATTAATAATCACTTTAAGACATCCAAATCTTGAAAAAATATTTTTCTACATAAATTGCATCACGATTTTATGATCATTAGTTCTAGTAGGAATAGCTTCCACCTACTTCGACACATAATCAACAGCAAACAAAATATATTCATATTTTTCAGCTGATGGGAAGGGACCCATGAAATCTATTCCTCATACATCCAAAATTTCGACTACTAACATGTTACTCATGGGCATTTCATCTTTTTTACTCATGCTACCTATAGATTGACACGAAATACATGTTCTACTAAATTTTATAGAATCTCTAATGATTGTAAGCCAATAAAAACCACACTGAAAAAATTTTGCAACTATTTATTGTCTAGAGAAATGTCCTCCACAATTAGATGAATGGCACATGTTAATAATGCTATGATATTCTTCTTCAGGAACACATCTCCTTAAAATTTGATCATTGCCCAAGTAATATAAATTAGGATCATGCCAAAAATAATTTCTAATCTTAGAAAAAATGATATTTTTTTTCTTATCTCACTATTATGAATTTTTTCTAGAAACCAGAAAATTAATAATATGTGTATACCATGGTGATAGTTGATGTTGAGCTGCCATCTATTGTTCATCTAGAAATGCATCTTGTAAAGGTGCTGCATTTATTCTTGTATCACTTAATCTAAAAAGATGGTCAGCAACAACATTCTCAAAACCTTTTTTATCTTTGATTTCTAAGTCAAATTCCTACAATAATAAAATTTATTTTAATAAATATGGCTTTGCATCTTTCTTATTTAAAAAATATTTTAATATTACATGATCATTATAAATAATAATTTTAGCTCTGAAAATATATGATCTAGACCTTTCTAATAAAAATACTACAGCTAACAACTCTTTTTCAGTCGTGGTATAATTTAATTGATCATTGAATATAGTTTTACTAGCATATGAAATTACTATGGGTTTTGAATCTTTTATTTGTCCTAGAATGGCCCCCACTATATAATTCGATGCATCACACATTATTTCAAAGGGAAAGGACCAATCTAGAGCTTATAAAATGGGTGCCTTAGTAAGTAATCTTTTTATTTTACAAAAAGACTCAAAACATTTCTCATCAAAATTAAAAGGCCACATCTTTAGATAATAACATGGTGAGAGGTTTAGAAATTTTTGAAAAATCTTGAATAAACTTTCTATAATAACCTACATGACCCAAGAAAGATCTAATCTGTTTTACTAAATTTAGAGGTTTCATTTTAGATATAATATCAATTTTCGCTCTATCCACCTCTAAACCCCTTTCACTCACAATATGACCCAACACAACTCCCTCTCTAACCATAAAATGTGATTTCTCCCAACTCAAAACTAATTTTTTCTCTATACATTTCTCAAGTATATGTTATAAATGATTTAAGCATTCATCAAATGATTCACCAAAAGTAGAAAAAT